GGCAAGAGTGGAAGGCCCAGCTCAGCAGCCTAATAGCTATGTATTAGCGTCACAAGGAAAGAGATATATTAGGAACAGGCGACATCTCCTACTGGTTGATGAGAATCCAATGGCAAGCCCTGAGGAGGATGTGCCACTAAGGTCCACCTCACCAGTATCGGATAGAGAAACTGCCCAAAATGACAACCCACCACTTGCACCTTGTAGAGAAACTGTTCAAAATGCCAACCCACCACCTACACCTCCTAATATCACATCAGTGATTAAAAGCAACCCACCTACACCTCCTAATATTACATCAGTGGTCAATACTGCTGCTTCATCTGAGAGACAGTTGGTGGTGACTCGAGCAGGCAGAGTTAGCCAACCCAATAAGCGTTATCAGGACTATGTCGGGACATGGCTAAAAAACTAAAACAACTGTGTTGCTCATACCTCACCATGTTTTCATGTTTTGTGCCACCAAAATTGTCTAAATGGACTGATTATAAGATGAATTCAGTACATGATGTAGTTCAGTGGGTTGTGTTAAATTGTTTAACGTGCTATCTGGAAGAAAGGGGATGTAGGGTTGTGGCACTATCACTTTAAATATATCTGTATTGATGTTAATGTCATGTGGGCGACCCCTGTTAAAAGGAAGTGGTAACGCATCAATAAAGACACAAGTGTTTGCATTTACACGAGCTGTGTGTGTGTATTACTGGACACTCTACACTGTAAAAACTAAAGGTGCCTCAAATATCCTGTCGGATACTCAAGGAACCTAAAAACACAATTTAAGTGCCTCAAAGCTCTTTCTCATAGAGTTGGGGTTACTGGAGGAGCATGGACAATCTTAGCGGTTCTTACTGGAACTTATGGGATCCTTGAAGCACTTTGTATTAATTTCAGAGGTTCTGGAGGTACCTTTTCACTACCATGAGACCTCGAAGTGCTTTGGGGGAAATTAGAGGAACTTAAATGCTATAAAAGGGTTATTGTAAGATCTTTTAACATTTAAATGGTTCCTGGAAGATCTTTTATGTTAAAGTCAGCATCTGGAGGAACCTAATTGTTGTGAGTCCAGAATACAATTATTATCCTATTATAATACTATTATATAATACTATTATTAAAATAATTAAATAATACTATTATTATCCTATTATTGTTATACTTAAGTATTGTTATACCTAATATATATATATATATATATATATATATATATATATATATATATATATTTCGAAAATTATGTTTCTGATGCAGCCAGGGGCGTCGCAACCGTGGGGGATGTGGGTGTTTTAACACCCACACTTTTCTCGGTGAGAGTGTTCAACACCCGCACTTTTTCTGCCGTTTTTCCGCAGTTTTACACAAACGCCTTCCTACAGTCGCTCCTCCGTTTCTCTGGCGCTCAGTGTGTGTGTGTGTGTGCGCTCTCTGCGGCTGTCTCCTCTCAAACATGACACCGGCTTTGAGTGTGTCCGGCTGATGATTGGCTGTTCTGCCTTAAGTCCCGCCTCTCTTGATGTGTTAAGGCGGGCATACACTGTGCGATTTTCGTCCGATTTTTAGCCGAATTCTGACTCGTGCGACTCATTTTCGTGTCGGACCGTTTTTTTTTAGCTTTGTCGTGCGTCGTTTGTCGTGCAGTGTTCGTGCAGTGTACAGGGAGAAACGAGAGGCGATTAACCTCTCACGATCGACAATCGGATGGTCGGATGAATTTCTGGCATGTCAGAAATTTTGGTCGCTCCTCGTGACTATATCGCACAGTTGAAGCAAAGCTACGAACCGATTGCCCTAAACTCAGTGTTTTTTCCCTCACTGCACCTGCGCGAAAACAGAAGTTTAACCATTTCATCTGCAGCAAAAATAAAATTAAAATAAAAACGAGCTACAAATTACTGTTGCTTACCTCCAGTTCGTGTTGCAAAATGGATAATATTACCCACCGTCTTCAAGCCACCTGATATGTAACACCTCTTTTATTATTTTGTCAAACAATGTTTTTGAAATAAACCTGTTTTTAATTTTCATTGATGATTAATAATAATGGCAATGTTCGGACATATTATAGACTGTTAATAGTTATTTTATATATAATTCATTGTAATCGACCTAAATGTTTTAGACAATTTTTAATGAGGAGTAAGATTAATATTTTATTATCCTCACAGATAATAAACCAACGTGCTGTGAAAATATTGCGTGGCAAATTAATTATAATAGCGGATCAATTTAATAGTAAAATTAGCCTATAGGCCTCCCCTAATAATGATAATATAATAATAATAATAATTAAATGCATAAATTGAAAATACTAAATCATCTTGATACTGATAGCAGATGCTTGTTTTGACAATATCTCTGGATACATACACGTAAATAGGCGCAATCCAGGGGGTTATCGCAGATATTACACGTATAGTGTGAGCAGTGAAGTCGCAGCTCGACGATCGGAACGTACAGTGTGAGCACATAAATCCTGAACTTTGGCTTTGCATCGCATGCGATTTACTCGTTCAGTGTGAGTAGGTACCTTGCTGAAATCGCACAGACATCGCACAGTGTATGCCCACCTTTAGATGTATTGGTCAGCTCGTGCTGAGGAGGCTGGAACTTTATGGTTGTTTACATCTCCCTTTTCCAGGTGCTTTGAATGAGTGTTTATGCTTTCGAGGTTTTTAAATAAGCTTGATGTGTTTGGGAAGATGTTATGTTTATGTTTTATTGACATGTCCAGTGTTTTCATTATTATATTTCGTATTTTTGGATAAACAGTACAAGACTTGCGTTAGGCATTCTGCTGCGTGATTTGAGAAAAAAAAAAAAAAAACGCGCTCTTTGCTCTTTGCTTTTCTCCTAAATAAAAGCTCAAGGTTTTATTTCTTACAAGTGAAGAAATTAGGACAAAAGTATTGTAATTTTGATAGCGTATAGAATATAATGACAGACTCTATATCATAACTATAGAGATGTTTGAGCCCTCTTTAGGGAAGCTACAAGTCAATGCTTTTTCGTTGTTCACAGCCCATTCTCACTCCCAAGGCGTCAGTTAGGTGACGCCTTGGGAGTGAGAATGGGCTGTGAACAACGAAAAAGCATTGACTTGTAGCTTCCCTAATTGAAGCATTTGACCATGCTTCAATATCTGACGCTTTAGGCGCCCTTTAGGGCCGTTACATAGTCAACGCGAGCTACGCGAGAAAGCAACGCGAGTGACGCGAGCGACGCGCTTCCTTTCATAGTGTTAAAGCAGACGCAAGCGTCACGGGCGATGCGTAAAATGCAATACACCGGTCACGCAACAGGGGGTAGTAGATTTTTCACTGCAAACTCGAAAAAGCGGTGGAGCTCGTGAAGGCGTGCGTGGCTCTCCACAACTTTCTGGCATCCACTGAACGTGCCAGATACATGCCCGCCACCTTTGTGGATGCGACGCCTGACACCGGAGAGGTCCAGCCTGGAGAGTGGAGTGGAGGCAGCACGTTGTTGGGCGGACCACGGTTTTCGGTTGGCAGCAGCAGACCCTCGATCCTTGTCAGGGAGCAGCTGGCTGATTACTTTTTATCAGATGCTGGCGTGTTTCCCCACCAAAACAGTGTGCTACGATTGGGTAGCACTGACAAATAAATTGATAAAAGTTCGATTTGAAGCATGAGTTTTTTATTATTATTTAACAATTTACACATTTTAACTTATTTGGTATTATGTGGAAACCATTACACATTTTTTATTATTTGGTATTATTTAAATTATGTAAAAACCATTACACATTTTAACTAATTTGGTATTTTAATTTCATTAATTCATATCCATAAATCATTAATTCATATAACCAGGCTGGTAAATTTGTCACGGGCACTTTTCCAGTCCGTTTTCACCTGATTCTGTCTTTCCCATCGCGATTGCAACCTCTCTCAGGCATTTTCCAACGCAATTTTATTTAAGTGTACTAATTGTGGTGAACTGTCGTATAAATGCGGATGATATTAAATGCTGGTATAAGCTCGTATAATTATTCCTCCTCGCACGCCATTGTATTCAAACCTTCTTCTTCTGTTAACATGATATATTTGAATTAATGTACAATTCTTGCAATGTCGCCCCCACCGATAACGCATAGTATTGCGTGCATCAGTGCGTCGCGTATCAAAAACTAGGACGACACATTTGGCTACGCATCGACGCAGAATGGCGGCCAAAGCGTAGCGATGCATAGCCATGCGGACGCGTATGCGTACCGATGCGTTGACTATGTAACGGCCCTTAGCGTCAGTTAGATGACGCCCTAGGATCGCGTGTACCCTACCCCCACCCCATACCTAAACCTAACCGCGTCCTCTAACTGACGCTTTCCTTTAGCGTCAGTTAGATGACGCCGTAGAATCGCGTCATGTAAGTGACGCTAAAGGGCGCCTAAAACGTCAAATATTGAAGCATGGTCAAAGGTGACGCCTTGGGGTGAGAATGTGTTGTTGTTCAATGTGCACAGGCCTGGGTCGAATCCAGTTGAAGCTCTTAATTTTGAGCACTCAATGTGCTCCAGATTGATGCATTTAACCTTAAATGTACCAAATTTTCTTGCGGGGGAGCATGCCCCTGAACCCCCCTAGAGGGACAGGGGTCTACGTAACATGCCCAAATTTAAATGACACATCCATCCCCCACACTTTTCAAAAGCTTGCTACGCCTCTGGATGCAGCTAGTATACTTACATTCAATTAGTATTGGCCTATTTTATTGATTCATTTAAAACTTAAACAACGACAAAAAATAGTAAGTATGTCTAATAATAATTATAATGATAATATGATCATATGAATATGAGGAGAAGAAGAAGAAGAATAATAAGAAGAAGAAGCAGCAGGAAGAGAACAGTTTTATTCTGTAACGAAACTGCTGCTAATCATCTGCTGTTATCGCTTCACTGTTATCGCTGCTCGCGCGCAACAAAGATCAGCTGATAGTCGTCGGATTTGAAAGTAACGGCTCCTCTCATCAAAGCTTCGGCTGTTTGTTCGGCTCTCCGTTACAAGGTTTGTAAACTCGCCAAAGAAATATAAATACTGAGTCTATTCACTATATATTCAAACACATACATATATAAACTAAAACACGCGTTCTTACAGAGTTTACCACTCGTTTATTGCACAGTATGTGGTATGAAGGTTTGAGCCGCGACGCTAACTAATCTAACGTTAAAGAATTAATGAAAATCATTGACTTATTGTCTTAGATTGTTTTAGTCATTCACTTAAATGTATTCTGTACAACTGTGTCTTCAAATTGCTGATATAACGTATTAGCTAATTCCTGCTGTCGACTGTCGTCTTTTGCGTTATGAATAACAAGTGGATAGGCTTTAGTTTGGTCTGTTTTTGTTTATTTCCCTACTACAGGTCCCCTGATTCTTTCAAAAAACATTTTAAAGCCCTTTACTGGCCAATAATTATTATGTTGTGAATGGATATAAATTAATCAACTTTGTTCTTTTGTTTCCTCAGAAGAACCACTGCATTTCTAAAATCATCTGAACATTTCAGAGGCTACATTGAATTACAGGAGGAAGTTACCGGCACCACACTACAAGTACTTTATTACTATGAACTTTTCTGTGTAAGTTTGTTTTGTTTGACTGTGTACTTGTGTTTTTTTTAATCAGTTATTCTATGAAAATATTCCTTCAGGCTCTTAAATCTCATTCATGTCACTCTGAAAAATTACATCACCGATTTGGCTCCAATAATTCTATATACATTTTTTCTTATACAGTTCCTTAAAGGGGAAATGAAGCAGTGAATCAAGTTTACATGATTTACAAGATGGATTTCCAATATAATCAACAATTATATAAGAAACATTACAAATGTAAACATTTAGAAGAAAAAAAGAAAAAACTCTGTATCTTTCGCCGCCAGGGCGCCGCTATTGTGCAGTTGACGTCACGGGGTTGGTTTGCTCAAGTTTAACAGGCTCTGGGCATTGAAAATCGCGACATCAAACTGTGTTTACACCAGTGTTTTGACCGCGAACGACTAATGTTAGGTACAGTCATTAGACAAAAAGACTACGTCTAATGTTATATGTTGACAAACTGCACAAAGAAATATTGTTCGCGATGTCTGCCGTCATATTCCCGTCTCGTCAACACCATGTAACGTTAAGTTACGTTGCTATGTTGAACAGCCAGTGGTGGTTTGGGGCGAAGAGCGGGTTTGCAACGCTAACTTACCAGGTGTCAGTGTGGCTGTTGTAGCGTTACTTCGATGCCATCCGTGTCAGAGTCCATCTGTTGTCAAGAGGTTGATCTTGAGCATGTATTGCGTGGTCAATTCTGCATCACCGGCGCGCACGTTTACCATGCTGTGCCGGGAGGTAGACGTGTGGAAGCGGCGATGCTTTCCCTGAAGGATGTCAGAGCGGAGACACTTTTTCCGAGTATGTAGGCTGTAGCTACTAGCACTACCACTGCGAAAATATGGACGTTTCATTTCCCTTTTAACAAATAACGTTACATGCTAACTTACATGTTGACGAGACGGGAATATCTGACGGCAGACATCGCGAACAATGTTTCTATGTGCAGTTTGTCAACATATAACATGAGAAGTCGTCTTTTTATCTAATGACTGTACCTAACATTAGTCGTTCGTGGTCGAAACACTGGTGTAAACACAGTTTGATGTCGCGATTTTCAATGCCCAGAGCCTGTTAAACTTGAGCCAACCAACCCCGTGACGTCAACTGCACAATGGCGGCACCCTGGCGGCGAAAGATACAAAGTTTTTTCCTTTTTTCTTCTAAATGTTTACATTTGTAATGTTTCTTATATAATTGTTGATTATATTGGAAATCCATCTTGTAAATCATGTAAACTTGATTCACTGCTTCATTTCCCCTTTAATCATTTGCATATAAAAAAAAAATCGAACTCTGAATTATAACTTAAAGTCTAGTCTTTTTAGACAAAAAACAAAGGCTATTATATGGCTTCAGAAGACTTGCAACACAACTCATAACACATGAGTTGTGGACCATTTTTTCAATTTAATTTTTCATATTTTTATGATCTTTTCTGTGACATTTTTGGAGATTAACACAATATTTAACCATTTTTACATAAATTGTTGCATTGAATTGAACTAAACAAGTGTACATAAGAATGGTTTCATGAATGATTTACACAGTTTTGTTTTGCTTGTCTCCTGCAGTGTAACTGAATGATGACTGGGGTTGCATTACGCCTGAGATCTGCTTTTGGGTTCCAAAGACAGAAAGTCAAACAGGTTCGGAATGTCACAAGGAAATTATTTTCAGTTCACAACTATCACTTTAATAACACTGCTGACAGTAATTTTGGTTCTTTGCAGGCACCTCGGTAGCTGAAATACAAGTTTGAACAAGAAAAATAATCCTCCTGTAGACCTGAAAATCATTGAAGTGCCTGGACCATCCACCAGTAAAGAGGAAAAACAAACGGAAAATTGTACTGTTCTAACTCGTGCCTCACATGTCCCTTGTTAAGATTTTATTAATGATTGCATTTTATGTTTCAGCAAGTAAAGGTGCGGTCAAATTTGTGAAATTACACAGGCAAAAAAAGTCCATTGACACAACTTAACTTAATTGTTTTTTTGTTTTTTTTTTATTAATGTGACGTGTTTCCATGCATTTTGTTGAGATGTCTTTTCTTGTATACCCTATTGTATATACTGTACATTGTTGATTATTCATGTTGCTTACAGTATGTATTATACTATTTGTTTGTGTATTCTGTTCATTGATATTAATCTATTACTAGCTTCTTTTCCCGAGTGCATGGAAGTGTATGTATTAAAATGGATCTAAAATTTAATAAACAATTCTTACCTTGTATTTGGTTCAGTTTGTTTATAATAATAGAAGTTAATGCTAACCATAGTAACAACATGAAATAATAATAAATAAATAAATTAAAGCTGCAAGCAGCGATGGGCGGGCCCTCGCACCTGTAGCGCGTTTGGGGTGTGAGGCGGCCGCGTTGCATATTCTGCGGCTCAGCCGGTGCAGCTGTGAAATTTTTCGCTGCTTCGTTAAAGGTCACTTCCTGTTGCCACTAGGTGGCGCTATGACTGTGGGTTAATGTCGGCATGTAGATTTGTTCAGGGCAGGACTCTTGTCAAATGTGTAAAATTTCGTGCAGATCTGGGCATTTACAGCCAAGTTACTACAACTTCCTGTTTCATGGCGAATCATCGACGCCACGGACACACCCATCGACAAAAACACGCACATAGCACAACTTTACATCGTCAATGACTTTAGAAGGTACAGCAGAAATTTGAAGTTGATCCTACTAAATCCCTAGGAGGAGTTCGTTAAAGTACGGAGTGTGTAAATCGTCCCAAATCGGTCGCCAAATTCAAAATGGCGGACTTCCTGTCGAGTTTAGGGTATGGGTTCTTGAGGCTTTTTTGTACGTCTGTTCATGGTAGATGTACCACAGAAATTTCGTACATGTCGGTCAAACAAGCGACGGGGGCTGCTTCGTTAAAGGTCACTTCCTGTTGCCAGCAGGTGGTGCTATGACTGTGGGTGAATGTCGGCATGTAGATTTGTTCAGGGCGGGACTCTTGTCAAATGTGTAAAATTTCGTGCAGATCTGGGCATTTACAGCCAAGTTACAACAACTTCCTGTTTCATGGCGAATCATCGACGCCACGGACACGCCCATCGACGAAAACACGCAGATAGCACAACTTTACATCGTCAATGCCTTTAGAAGGTACAGCAGAAATTTGAAGTTGATCCTACTAAATCTCTAGGAGGAGTTCGTTAAAGTACGGAGTGTGTAAATCGTCCCAAATCGGTCGCCAAATTCAAAATGGCGGACTTCCTGTCGAGTTTAGGGTATGGGTTCTTGAGGCTTTTTTGTACGTCTGTTCATGGTAGATGTACCACAGAAATTTCGTACATGTCGGTCAAACAAGCGGCGAAGCTGCTTCGTTAAAGGTCACTTCCTGTTGCCAGCAGGTGGTGCTATGACTGTGGGTGAATGTCGGCATGTAGATTTGTTCAGGGCGGGACTCTTGTCAAATGTGTAAAATTTCGTGCAGATCTGGGCATTTACAGCCAAGTTACTACAACTTCCTGTTTCATGGCGAATCATCGACGCCACGGACACGCCCATCGACGAAAACACGCAGATAGCACAACTTTACATCGTCAATGTCTTTAGAAGGCACAGCAGAAATTTGAAGTTGATCCTACTAAATCTCTAGGAGGAGTTCGTTAAAGTACGGAGTGTGTAAATCGTCCCAAATCGGTTGCCAAATTCAAAATGGCGGACTTCCTGTCGAGTTTAGGGTATGGGTTCTTGAGGCTTTTTTGTACGTCTGGTCATGGTAGATGCACCACAGAAATTTCGTACATGTCGGTCAAACATATGGCGGGGGCTGCTACGTTAAAGGTCACTTCCTGTTGCCAGCAGGTGGCGCTATGACTTAGGGTGAATGTCGGCATGTAGATTTGTTCAGGGCGGGACTCTAGTCAAATGTGTAAAATTTCGTGCAGGTCTGGGCATTTACAGCCAAGTTATTACAACTTCCTGTTTCATGGCGAATATTCGACGCCACGGACACGCCCATCGACGAAAACGCGCAGATAGCACAACTTTACATCGTCAATGCCTTTAGAAGGCACAGCAGAAATTTTAAGTCCATCCGACTAAATCCCTAGGAGGAGTTCGTTAAAGTACGGAGTCTGTAAATCGTCCAAAAATGGCCGCCAAATTCAAAATGGCGGACATCCTGTCGAGTTTAGGGTATGGGTTCTTGAGGCTTTTTTGTGCGTCTTGATATGATACACGTCCCCACCAAATTTCGTGCATGTAGGTTGAACGTGGACGAGGGGCTAATTTTTTCCAATTTTCTAGGTGGCGCTATCGTGCCATTTTGCCCCGCCCATCCGCGAAACCCACAAAATACGAAATTTTTCACCAGTCCTGACATGCGTGCCAAATTTGGTGAGTTTTTGAGCATGTTGAGGCCCCGAAAATGGCACTTACTTTGCAGAAAAAATAAAAAAAAAAAAAATAAAAAAAAATAATCCTAACAGTTTCAATAGGGACCTCGCACTGTTAGTGCTCGGGCCCTAATAAATAAATAAAAATTGGTTCCTGGAGGCACCCAAAGCGCTTCCATGCAGTGCCTAATATAAGAGTTCCTCAGGAAACCTGGGTGGTTCCTCAGAGAACTGTCCCTTTTTTAAAGGGTTCCTAGAGGATCTACAGATGGTTCCGCCGGCGTGGCAAAGTGAAGAACCCCAAAAGGTTCCTCCAGGCACCTTTTCTTTTTACAGTGTACAATAGGCTATATTCTTCTTGCAGATAAATATACTCACGCAGCTTAGGTTAGAAGCCTCCAGTGAGTTCAACGTTTCAATACCCGGGAAATGCTCAGAGGTGACGAGGGGAGTTGAGTTATTTCAGCGAATTTAAAGCTTTGACAACTTTAATCGTTATTTAAATACCTTTACTCAATTATCTGGACTACGAAACTCTGGGAGATTATTTTTGAATGTCTGTTCTTTGAAATTAGCAAAAAAAAAAAAATTTTTTTTTTGTTATTTCATTGTTTTTCCACATAATCGGCCCATCTTAAAATGGAACGTTGCGACTTCCGACTCATTTCGCCAGAGCGGGTCACATATTGGAAAGTGATATACAAACACAATTTTTCCCCCACATAGTTGTTCTTTGTGGAATAATAAGTTTATCCGTATTAATAGGAAATCAGTGTTTTTTCAGAACTGGATGGATTAAGGTGTCTGGTCCATTGTACACATTATGGATGGGGAAGGGAATTTCCTTAGTTATGAGAATTTTTGTGAAAGATATAATATGATTTGCACTCAGAAATTATATGCATCTTTGTTAAAGGCTGTTCCTGGTGGTTTGGATCAGTTGGTCAAAGGTGCATTGTGTTATTCACCTGTGATTCAGAGAATGAAAAGTTTAATCTCTGGTCTTGATTTTACAGAGGAGGGCTGTAAGATTAAAGTGTTAAGAACATTGGTAAATGTAGACTTCTCCTTGTAAAGTTAAAAAAATACCTCTTTGTTTGATTTCCTGAAAGATAAAGTGGGTCAAACTAGAACAAGATTTCTTACTTTTCCACTTTTTCCAAAGGTAAAAGAGGTTCAGTTTAAAATTATTAATGTTATTTATCCTTGTAATGATTTCCCAAGACACAGATATGGATTGTAATGAGTGCACCTTTTGTGAAGTGGACAGTGCTTGGAACAGTTATTTTATTTATGCAAATTCTCAAAGAAATTCTGGGATGATAAATGGTTACGATTGAAATATGAAGTACCTGATTTTAATTTTTTTTAAAAAATATTTGTCTTTGTCTTTGAGTTACGATCTTGAATTTTTGGTGAACAATATTGTGCTGTTGGCCAATTACTTCATACACAAATGCAGATTCTTTAAGAAACCTCCCACTTTCCTACTCTTCCATTATCTTCTTCAAAGCTTTAAGACTGGTACATAAGCCCTTAAATTATTTAAACTTCTGAAGGTTTTGTTTGATGATTCCCCCTTGCGTAATATTTTATTTATTTACTTGTTTATTTATGTGTTCTTTACATGTTTTTTATTTCTATTTAGATTTATGGTGTTCTTTTATTTTTTATGCTGCTATTTGGACTTTGTTTGTAATCATTTAATATTTGTATCTTGATATTTGTTGGTATTTTGTATGTTTCTTTGAGCAATAAAAAAAAAAAAAAAAAAAAACATTGGTCCCGCTTCGGATACAACGATGCCATCAAGTGGTATCTCTGGTCTTAGTCAGTCCTTCACTGACCAGTCAGTGTCCATTAGCAGAATGCTAGCGTGTTATCGGCAACAACAACTCAACCTGTAAGAAATCGAAAGGACATAAGTACTCGTTCGTTTAAATTTCGACCTATAACCCAGGTTGGACTTGCAAAACCTACATTCAAATCTAAGATTTCTCAATGACAATCGGGTGAAAGAGACAAATTTAGTCGTTTAGCCCCATAGACTCTCATTCATTTTGGACTTGGACTATTGCCCCCAGTGGAACTCTGGAACTACAACCAAAATTCGGTACAATAGGGAGTGGCCAGCCTTTCCGTAGACGGGCTTTGGTTACAAGTTAGAGGAAGTTCAAAGCTTGTCAAAATCAGGAAACGAGAGAGAGATAGAGAGTATTGCTGTAGGTAGGCGTTATTGATTTCGATACTAAACACGAACAGTAAATCGTTTATACATT